GAATGGCCAAGATAATGCCTGTCTTTCCTGCATGAGTGCACCCATGATTACGCCCGTCTTTCCTGCAGGAGCGCAACCGCGGTCTCAGCCATCTCCCCACCCCCATACGATCATGCCCGTCTCCCCCTCAGCTCACCCACGTTCGCACCCATCTCTTCCCCCCCAGCACGCCCACATTCGTGCCCGTCCCTCCCCACCCCCATGCGCCGGAATGACAGGCACATGCAGGGATGGCGGGCTTGATCGTGGTTGTGCTGGGGGTGGGGCAGGGAGATGGCCATGCTTGAGCTCGGGGTGCGGGGGGAGATAGCCGTGATCTTTGTTGTTGTCACTTTGCTTCACATTTTTCTGATTAAAAAAGAAATAGTTACAGAACAGATTAACCTTATTTACATTGAACCTTATGGAAAAATTTAACTTGGCTCATGACCAATTCAGATCACGACCAGAGTCCTGAAACGGATTAAGTTTGTGAGCCAAGGTACCACTGTATAGATGTTTTTAGAACAGCCTACCTCTTATAGAACATATTACTATTTTATTGTATAAAGACTTACTTCAAATTGTTTACTCATCTGAATACTTTGCTCTCCCACCTTTTCCTCTTCCCTGTTCAATAAATTGTGCTTCTTTTCTAAGTTGATCATTGTTTTCCCTCACCTGTTTTGAGAAAACAGGGTACCTGGTGGGTTAAAAGTGCTGCATGCTAGTTTGTAGTCAGCATTTCTCTCACTCATCTGCTACTGTGTGTAAAAACCTAGTGTATGAGGGAGAAAGATCTTGACTACAAACAGATCTCTGTTGCCCTCAGTCCACTGGAATCACCTGTTCCCTGAAAACAGGTGGGGAAAAACACAGTGAGCAATTTATAGAATAGAAATAGGATTTATTTAACAGGGACATAAAAAAGGGAAAGGAAAGTTAAACAAACATTCAAATGAATAAATTATTTAAAGTAAGTCTCTAATCAATAGAACAGAAGGAAAGGGAGTCCAATAATGGTATCTTCTGTAAATGAAGATTATTTTTATAATCTGGGGGAAAGGCAGAATACTGTTGCTGCTCTTTATTCAGTCTCACCATTACCTGTCTCTTCTGTTTACCCTCTTCACAGCTTCCTCAGTACCTCTCTTCCCAATCTACAGTGGTATTTCAGCTCACAAATGCCTCAATTCATGACCAAATCCGGTCATGAGCAGAAATTTCATAGAAATTTTGCCGCAGGTCACAAACTCTGCATTGGGTAATGAGCGCAAGTGCGCATGCCTTCCCTACACGGGCGCAATCACAGTTATGCGGGGGGGGGGAGATGGCCGTGATTGCACCTGTGTTCCCTGCCCCAGCGTGCCCTCGGCCGCCTCCCCCCACAGCGCGCCCTCCTCCACCCACGCACCTATGCCCACCTCCCCCCCAGCATACCCACAATCGGACCAGTCTCCCCGCACTCCTCCACATGATCACTGGGGTGGGGGAGATAGCCGCGATCTTTGTTGTTCTTTGTCACTTTGCTTCACATTTTTGTGAGTAAAAAAAAAATAGTTACAGAATGGATTAACCTTATTTACATTGACCCTTACGGGGAAATTTGACTTGGCTCATGACAAATTTGGGTCACGACCAGAGTCCTGGAGCGGATTAAGTTCGTGAGCCAAGGTACCAGTGTATATTCTTTTATCTCTCCTCACACTATCGTTCTATTTACAATTTACACTGCCACCTTAATCCTACAGTGGTTCAGCAGGATATAAAAGGGTTGAAATGCTACTAGCTTCTCACAGGACTTCTCTCATGCTTCACTTTATTCCCCCTCTAATCCTGACAATATGAATTTATGAATCTTAGGGCATAATCCTATGCATTTTATACAGAACAAAGCCAAACAACTCACAGCATCCCCCAACACAGCATGGCTGACTGGGGAATGCTGGGAGCTGCAGGACACTTTTATCTAAACATGCATAGGAGCGAACAATCATATTTCTTTCAAATCCTACAAATACTTTATACTTATTCTGTGCAAACACATGCCTTACCTTCTCCTTAACTAAGCTGACAAACTATTTTCCAAAAGATGCTGTACAAATGGAGAAATGTTACTACAAATAATTCCTATATAAATCAATGTGGGGGCAATCAGACAATAGCTGTCAAAATGCCTTTTTTTCTTGCCCTTTTATCTCAGAATGGGCATGGAGTATCCATAAATCCACTTTTCCTACATTGCCTTGTTTCAGATGATCTGTTGAACAGTTTACTCAGCATAAACAGTAGAACCTACTGCCTCCAGACCCATTTCTAGATTTTATTTATTTATATAATACAAACATTTATATCCCATCCTTCCGACAAGCGCTCAGGACAGCTTACACAATATAAAATTACAACAGCACCATACTAAAACCTCAATTATTAAAACAATATAAAACAACACATCATGAACTTAGAAAAAGAAAAGGGAGGAAAATAATATAATAGGATCATGCAATTCAGCTGACAGACCCTTAATGTAAGGTGACTACATTATGTATGGTGGTTGCATAGTGAGTATTTATATCACATATTTCCAGTTTTAAAACTATGCAATGTCAATATTCCTTTACAAAAACCCAAAACAACAGATCAGTATTATTCCCAGATTGCAGAGGGCTGAGTTAATAATGGTTTGTGTGAAGCCATCCAGTGAGTTAATAACTGGAGATGCATTTGAATACAGGACTTTCTAAAGTGTAAATCATACTTGTAGCCACAATGAACAGTACCAAAACATCTGCGGGTCAATAGTTGTCAATAACAATAGTAATAATAATAATAGTCAATAGTTACAGTCCAAGGCAACAGGTTGGGGGAAAATGCATGTTCTTGTAGAAATTATAGAATTAATTCTGCTACAGCACTGCCTCATTGCTCTTACCTTTCTGTCTCTTTTCTTATATACACTGTTATGCCCCTGAGGCAAAAGATACTTATTCGGTCAAGCACAAGAAGTGCTTTCTAGAAGAGACCTTCCCCCTTCCTAAGAGAAGGCGGTAAGGAATCTCTTTTGAGCCCACAATGGCAGGAAGGCAATGACCTGGAGGTCCCCAGCAGAGGTGGACTGTTGGAGCATTTTAATCTAACCTAAGTCCTCTTTACCTAGGAAGCTCACTCACCACCCCTTTGCTCTAGGTTGGGACCAAGAGCAGGTACTTTTTAGCACCTTCTCCTGGCAAAGGAAGAAAGAACTTGGCCAAAGTGAATTGCAGAAAGCCTTATACTAGTCTGGGGGAAAGTGGGCAACTACTTAATTTCTTCCATCCTAACAGGAATATCTGACAGCATCAATACCTGCTTACTGGTACTCTTAACATTTCCTGACATTTCATTCTATACATGAATTTTCCACAAATAGCTGTTGCCACAGAGTTTAGTTATGTGAGATCATTTAGTTTTCTGTAAGCATAGCACTCCACAAAATGGCTGCTAAGGGGGTAGGAACTTATTCATAAAATGCCTGACATGGTAGGTATGGTCAGTCACAAAACATTCATTTTGCAAAAGGTAAACTTGAGAAAATAAAAGTAATTTCACCAAAAACCTAAGCAGAAGGCAGAAATGAAATCTGAGCTCCAAAACACAAAAACACTCTTTTCAACCCCAAACCCAAATAATGATGGCATTGGGCATTGGAGGGCAGCCCTTCACTTTGCAGCATGCCATCCACCAGTTAAAAAATAAAATCAAAGTAAATCTTTTAAAAAGGAAATAAAAATCAGGAAGGGCATAGAGCCTGGAGAATGCCAAGGTCACATGAAAAACCCCAATCCTTTGCTGTCTTGCAGAACTTCACCAAAGTTTTCCTTCTTCATTCTTCCTAGTTTTCTCCCGTCTATAGACTATTAACTGCAGTGCATTTTAACTATTCCACTCTTTAAGGATGCAGTCCTAGAGACTGTGCCCAGGCTGGAGGCAACCAATATTCTTATGCCCTGCTGGGCTGAAACCAGTATAGAGGGAAGAATGGTGGAGATAATCCTCACTGTTTCATCCTCTAATCTCATGCATTTTCACTAGATGGCCTTTGCAACTTGGCTAAGGACAATGCTTTGGAGGGGGAAGGAAAAGGGCTGGAAGAGAATCAGAATAACTTGTATCCTGATCTCCTTAGCTTTCTCTCCTTTGTGAATGTGGACTTTTCTTCCTCTCTAAGGCTGTGCTTCCAGTCCCAAGGAGACAATAGGCCCAATTCACTCCATACTGACTACAAGGGCTGGATCTCAAACTCTCCTTTCTACGGTTAGAGAACGGCCTCTGACCGCAGAAAGATTTTATAAGCAATCCTATCATCTCTGCAATGTTCTGAATTAATAAGTTTGCCTTCAAAATACACCATAGTTTCACAATGTTCTGTACATAACCAAAGACCTATATTTTAGTTTATTGAGCCCCACAAGGTCAGAAGTAACATTATCCAGGATGTTCATTTCAGCCTGGTAAATACTAAGAAATGTTACAAATCTTGCAAGATCCAGAACCAACACACATAATCAGGAAAAACTCTGCCTTTATCTCAGTGTTGTTTCATCAAGACAGTCTAGGTCAAACACAGAAGCTACAAACAAGGAAGAACTTGTTACATGGAAAAAGCCACAAGCTTCAAACATACTCTCTTTGGGGGCTATTAAAATGATTCACAAAGAACTTCAAATGTTTTCTTCTACCCCTACATGGCATAATTGCATTCTGTCTCACAGCATGTTATTGACAAAGAGCCCATGAACTTCTAAAAAGCTATGCATTTTTGTTTTGTTTTGCTTTGAAGAAGAATATATTTTGCTATAATGGCTAGAGACACAATACTGTTTGGCTTTCTACTTGCCTATCTGAAGCACAATATTGCTTCCACTCCAGCTGCAGATGCTAAAGATAAAACAGTTGGATCAGGCAGTTAGGATACTTATTGTGTATCTGTGAATCTATGCAAAGTGTATTTCTTTAAATACTGTGAAATAGCAAAAACATACCATTTGAATTTTTGTTTAATTCTGCTTTCAGTTTTTCTACTTCTTCTTTCAGTTTTTTGTTTATGTCAAAGAACTCTTCACCGTCACCACTTTTTTTTCTCTTGAGGAACTGCCAAAGAAAAGAATTAATTTTCCATTTTAATTCACATTTAGCACACATAACGCATATAAAAACACTTGCCCACATTCCATCCCTATTTTCGCTCCTCTGTCAAACTTGACATTATGAACAAGTTTGAGCAATGAGTTTCTATTTTTGCTTAAGCTATAAAATGTCACAATACTAAGACCCAGATTCAAATTCTTGCTATACAATGAACTCACTTGGTGACTTATATGGCCTGATTTACACATAATGTTAACCCATGGTATGAGTTATTGATTCTGGATTGTCATAGTCCATGAACATGGTCATGCTAATAAATCATATTTTGTTAAACACAAAGAACCCAGGAAAAATGACTTGTTGTTGGGTTGTGAACTCTGGCTTCTTAAACTATGGGTTGTTTTTACATGTGAACTCAGATCTGTGGGCTATTCCATGAATTGTTTTGGCAAACTACAACAACAGTGAGCAAAAGCAATCAAAACCAAACCCAACCCAGCCCCCGAGCCACCTATCTGCCAGTAAAACATTACAAAGGTGGAATACAAGCAGAGAACACATGAAGGAGGTGAAAAATAAACAACTCAGGAATTAAGAATATAAACCAAGGTTTGTTCAGTGGTTTGCCAACAAATGCTGGGCAAGGCAACAAACCATGGGTTAAATAAACCATGTGATAGCATTATGTAAGAATCAGGTCACTGTCTGCCAGATAGCCTAACTTACTTCACAGGATTGTTGTGAGAATAAAATAGGGGAAACTAGGCACACTGCCTTGAACTTGGAGCTCAGGTAGAATATAAATGAAAAATATTAATAATAAATGTATTGATACCCACTATATAAATAATAAACAACAAACTATTTAAATGGTGCATACCTCCTTTATGAAAATGGTTTAGTTTTTGTGAACTCTTAAAAATATTCCAAGGGTCTTTTTCAAATGATCAATGGATTAATTAAAGTTTATCAAACTGCTATACATAATATCCTGATAAAGTTCTAAACATGCCTTGCAAATCTACAGAGAAAATTGGCAAATGAATGATGAAAGAGTAAACCCCATTACTGTAATAATTGCTGTTTGATTGATACTGCCCTATATTAATTGTTTTAAAAGTGGAGAGCACCAAGCCCTAACACACACAGCTATTTTGCAATAAATTTGCTGTGCTCCTATTTAAAATTAAAAGTTGATATGAACATGCACAATTAAGAGGACTAGAAGTCTGCTGTTCCAAGACAGAAATCCCTCTTGGGATTATTAAGCTCTCAGGTGCACCTTTGATGCTCTCTGAATCTCAGCCACAGTGGTAAAATGCCCTTAAATAAACTAGCAAGCCCATTTATATATCAAACATACTCGCTGCAAATTTTCATTCTCTTCTAAGGACTTCTTGGCAACGTCATTGATATTTGCTACTTCCATTTGCTGAGTTTCCTGGGTTCTCATCTCTTTTGCCAACAAAGTGATAAGGGAAATGGTACGTCTTAGTACACTGTGGGAAATGAAACCCCATAAATCCATTAGAACAGTAAGCCCTTACAATTGTTTTAGCTTTAAAAACTAAATATTACAAAAGCTTGTCACACTTTAACTGATTCTAAAGATAAAAAGTGCCTGAATTGTGAACACCAGCCATTTTTGTTCAGGTACCTTTCCATTTTACAGCTGACTAGGATTGTAGATTTATTTAGTTTTTTACAATATTGTAATACCTCTCATTTACAGCCCCTCTTTAGCTCTCAGTTATTGCTGAAACCAGTTCATACATACTCCAGGGTGTTGCTGTGGGCTGAAGGGATACAGGATACTGCCCAAATGTCTGTATCCATCCAAGACTCTATGCCAGTGCCAGCTGTTCCCAACAATATCCACGCCGCCCCCCACAAAAAAAAAGTGAAGTGAAAAAATTTCTGGAAATTTTTGCAATTCAAATTAGGTGTATTTGCACAGGGTCAATGGCACAGGAAGTTTTCAGTTGTCATCCAAATGTTTTCCCATGAAAATTCAGTTAATTTGCATAGGGTCATTTTACTGGAACATTACTGGAATGTTCTGATTCTTTAAAGAGATCTAATTTAACATGAAATTAGCTGGGCTGGTAACCTACTATCTACCAGCCAATTCCTACACATATGGTTGTTATTGCTAGACTAGGACTAGGGCTCCTGCTTCTTGGAGAGGCTGCCACAGAAAGCAAGCGAAGACTAAATTGTTCCCAGGATTGACTAGAACATCAACCAACTGCATTATCTCTGGGAAGGGCTTATCTGTTGGGACAGAAGTGGGACAGCAATGACCCCAAAGGTGGTGACACCAAGGGGGGACCCTTCTGCAGGGAGGCAAACACAAGGGCAAGGACTATCTCCCCAACATCTTAACTAGTTGGGTTGCTCAGAGCCCTGTGTAGTGGGAAAATTTTCTTGGTTTTTCCATTCATAGGGCCAGAGTATGTGGCTAGAAGAGAAGTGATGAAGCCAAGTGGGTTCCCAGGCAGAGGAGGAGCATTAGCCCATTAAAGGGAATGTGTCTCAACTAGTTACTGCTCTGAAGTGTTGTGGCCCTCCTTGCATCCACACGTTTGGTTGTTGCCCTGTATGCCTGCCCTTGGGTCTCCAGATGCTGCTTCAGGGTCCATAATAAAACATTCCTCATCAATGATTTAAAAGTAGCCAATCTGGTTTTACCACCAAGACCTGAATGGGAAACATTGAGTCCCAGTTATGCTCACTTGGTACTTGGCTTGGCATCAGGATAGACTTGAGGTTGGGGAATGGGGGTTGATGTGATCTATAAGAATTCTTCTCTGCCCAGTTTCCCTATCCATCTGACTACTAGTCTGATGCGCTTGCCTTTTGTATTGGACCAATGGGACAGGTTGGGAATTCTGCTCATATACCAAACAGTCCTAAGCTGCTGTTCTTGGGGGACACAGTATTTGGGGCAGCTCAGGATTTCATGGATTCCATGATTGTACCAATATTCAGGAACCCCAGCAGGGCATAATTTACTTTTTTTTCAGTTGGGCATGTTGGTAGATATCTGAAGGAGGGGAACACTTTGCCACAGTCAAATTACTGCCTGCTGAGATTTAGACTATGGTGGCATTCCCTTTCTGCATGATGGCATGTAACAGCAGGGGTAGTGAGGACAGCAAAGAAAACTCACTGTCTCTATTACATCTTCTCCTTGCCACCCAGAAGGATTCTTTAGGGTTGCCCAGGGCCCAAGGACATACTAGACTTTTCTGAGGCCTGCAGCAATATATTTCAAAATCTCTTCTGCCCTCTGGGACTTAAGAATTCATGTTACTCCAGTGGAATCAGGGAAGGTACCCAGAGTACTGCCTCAACAAGTTTTCTTGGATGAGTTTCAGTTGGTAGAGCTTAAGGGCACTGACAAACTGCTTGGACAGTTTCATACAATGACTTCCATAGGGGCTCCTTGGCCCCCTTGTCTTAGAAAAACTAGCAGGGAAAGTAAAGCTAGTTATCCAGGGAAGTGATTAATGCTTCCCTGCAAGAGAGATTGGGTTCATTCTACCTGAAAGAAGCAGCGGTGAAGCCACTCCTGACAAAATCCTCTCGACCCAGAAGTTATGGCAACTTTAGGCTGTCACAAATGCTATATTGGGAGAGAGATGGGGAGTACAACTCAATTGATACTCAGGATGTCTTGTCAGCTTATGGAACTATTAACTATGTGGTTTACCTGGATTTCAGCAAGGACTTTGACAAAATGCTGCATGATATCCTGGTTGATGAGTTTAGGTACAGACTGATACACTAGCCAATGGATTAGGGCATGGTTGATGCATTGAAAGCAGAGGGCAATTATCAGTGGGGAATCATCAGGATGGCAGCTGGTGACGAGTGGGGTCCCCCAGGGCTCTGTCCTGAGACCAATCCTATTCAGTCTTTTCATCAGTGACCTGAAGACGGGGTGACCAGTCTGCTGATCAAATTTGTGTACGATACCATATGGGAGTGGTGGACACAACTGAGAAGAAGGTACTCCAGATCCAGAAAGATCTGGACAGACTATGGAAGTGAGTGGGGGACAACAGGATGGCATTCAGTGCAGAAAAGTGCAACGTCTTGCACTTGGAGTATAGGAATGGGTGTCATAAGTACAGGTTAGGGGACAAGTGACTGGAAAGCAGCACTTGTGAAAAGTATCTTGGGGTGCTGATCAACTGAAGGCTAAACATGAGTCAGCAGTGTGATGTAGTGGTCAAGAGAGTGAATGCCACCCTTGGAGGAATAGCCAGAAGCATGGCTTCTAGATCAAGAGAAGTATTACTGCCACTCTCCATGACTCTGGTATTCCTGCAACTGGAGTATTGTGTTCAGTCCTGGGCCCCACATTACAGGAGAGATATAGCCAGGCTGGAATCAGTGCGATGTAGGGCCACAAGGATGGTGGCTGATTTGCAGGAGAAGCTGTATGAGACGAGACTGAGGCAACTGGGTCTTTTCAGCCTGGTAAAGAGGAGACTCTGAGGTGATCTGTTGGTGACATGAGGGGGTGTCATGCAGAGGTAGGTCAAGGCTTGTTTTCCCCTGTGGAGGAGGGCAGGATGCATTTCAATGGAACAAAGCTCAGGGAATCAAGGTTCAAGTTAGACGCCAGGAAGTACTTCCTTACAGTTATGACCCCCCATATCCCTAGGGTATGGTATGGGCTTTCACAGGAGGTGGTTGAAACCCCATCAGTGCGGGTGTTCAAGGATAGGCTGGATATGCATGCGGTAGGCATGTCATGAACAGAGCTGGCTAGATGGCCTGGGAGACTCCTTCTGACTCACTATGTTTCTTTATCTACCTGGGGCAGCTGTTTGAACTGGTTTGAAGGGTTTCTGCTCCTATTTGGATAATCAGCCACAGAAGGTGGTGCTTGAGGAATACTGCCTGGTTCTATAGATTCTACAGCTGGAAGGGATTGGTTTTATCCCTCATGTGATTCATGAGCTATATGAAAATACTGAGTTTGTCTGGATTGTCATAATAGATTCTCATCAGTACACTGATGACAAACACAGTTCTATTTCTCCTTTTCATCCCTAGCAGATGAAACTGAAGATGTGCTAATCAGTGCTTGGCTGTGACAATGGACTGGATAAAGACAAATGGAAGCTCAATCCAGAAAAGACCAAGAAGCTGCTAGTAGTTGGCTCTTCTAATCAAATGAAAGGCATTTAATCTGTTCTGGAAGGAGACACTTTGTCCCTTGAGGCTCAAGTGGCCTCAGTAGCAAGGAGAGCATTTCATCAGTGGCAGCCAAACTATGTTCCTATCTGAACAGGGATAGCCTGCTTTCAGGAAGTGATGCTCTGATCATCTCTATATTATGTATATTGCTACAATGTACTTGACATGGGGCTGTCCTTGAAGACCATCTAGAAACTGCAGCTTGTACAAACTATAGCCGCCAGACTAATAAACAGGGATCAGAAGAGCCAAGCTTACAAAAGTAATTGTCACTCGTTTATATTTGCTGCCTGTTCTCTTCCGATACCCAATTCAATATGCTGGTTATTGGGACTGCAATACCTGCTGGAGTGCCTTTCCCAATCCAATTCTACCCAGACAGTATTGTCAACATCTGAGGTTTTCATTTCTACCTCTGAGAAAGGCTCAGCAGAAAGCAACAAGGAAAAGTACCTTCTTAGTGGCAAACCCCCCTAGTTATAGAAATGCTCTCCCTACTGAGGCCTGCCTGGCACCAACTCTATTATCCTTTGGGCCTTGGTTAAGACTGCCCTTTATGCCAGGGCATTCAATGGCTCTAAAAGGAACATGGGGGAAAGGGGTTATGTCAATGATTTAACTGCACTAGTAGTATTAATATAATTGTATAAATTCAGTTTTTAAATTTCTGTAATGCCATTTTATGAAGTTTTTATTGTATGTATATTTTATTAGTGAATAAAACAACAAAGACAAAAAGTACCCCATAATTTTTGGCCCAATAAACAAGTATTGTTCTGAAATGTTTGAAGAAAAACAATTAAAACACTTAATGTGATATAAATATTATATTATGCTAAAATGGATATCTTCAGGTTTGCCGTCATTGCTTACTAGTTCCATTTCATTCTGAGAAATACATATTTAATTGACAGCTAAAAATATATAATATATAATCTCTCACATAGTTGCTAAAAATAATAATCTGAAAAACATTAATTACAACTTTAAAACTGCCAAGCTTGCCTAGCAATGCATTTAGAACTATCTTACATTTATATTTTATTAATGAATGTAAGATAAATACATTTTTCCAAGAAAAAAAAAAAAGCAATGGAAAATTTTTTGCTCCCCATCTGTGGCCATTCTATCAGCTCCTTTTTGCTGACAGAATGGGTTGGATGAGCAAATGTTATACTGGTGAGTTCAAAGTGTCTGATGACACTGTCACAGTCATAGTGTATCTGATGTTCTCCAGAATACCAAATAGACCAACACCCAACAAATTGTTGTAAGCCGCCCCGAGGCTTCGGTGAATGGGGCAGCATAAAATGTTTTAATAATAAATAAAGAAATAAAGAAATAAATAAATCTTCAACACACAATTATACCCCAAAACCTTGTTCAAACATTCTGGCCACAAATGTCGCTTATTGGATAGTACCATAAGTGGTACATGTGAATTACATTTTTATATGCAGCCTTTTAGTATTGTCTTTCCTTCTAGAAACGTAATGGCAAGCCTTTCATATGCAGAGAAATCCTAGTATAGGAGCAATTGCTATTAAGTAAGCAATTCCAATGTGTGCCCGCTCAGGATGTACATTGCCATGAGAGGACTGTACTAATTCTGAACTGGATTTTGGGATCAGCAGTTAAGAGCTACATTTTTCCCATTTCACCAATACACACTATTTCTATTAGCAACATTTCTTTTTCTGAAATACCTGTTTTCTGAAATCTCTCTCCATTTATTCAATTCACATATACAAGTTTTTACAAGTGTTTTGCATGAGCCATTCTTTTTGTAGAATGAATTTCTTTACAAGCAGATATAGAGTTGATTTAAATGGCACATAATTATACTTACAGCCAAAGAAAAAGGGAGAATCCTGAGATATAAAGGTTTCGTTGCGATCTAAAAAGTTTCATTTGAATATGTTCCAATGCACTGGTGTTTGCATTTGTAGTTTTTTCACTTAACTGAACATTTGAATACTTCCTCACTTCTCGTACTGCATCTGCAAGTAAAAAACAGCTGGTTGCATTTGTTTTCTAATGTCTCCTTTATTTACAGTTCAGTATTAAATGCAACCTTAAGAGCCACTTGCACATTAGTTTTATCAGAAAATATTGTATACAATAGACAGTGAAAGGTGGAGTAGTGGAAAAGGATAGAAGAGAAATATAGAATTTGGGGACATATAGAAATCAGGCTTGTGGGAAGTGCTGATACATAAAAATAGGGAACTGAGGTATAAATAGGCTAAATTATATACAAAATGATTAAAAAGTCACTGAATACATTGTAATAATTTTTTGAATTTTTATCATCAGGCCTCAGAAACTATATATCTAAGTTTTGTGCATCCTGCTTAATGGTCACTGAAATGACAAGCCTGCAAAAAAGTGTCTAAGGAGGCAATCCTACCAACTGCACATTCAATGCCTCCTAATACTCCAGACTCAGAGGCTCATGAGCATTCAGTGAAGAATGGGAGGAAAGCTGGAGGCAATCTCTGCATCTCCATTCTCCAGCACAGCTAGATGGACAATTTTGCCTGTCTAGCTGTGGTACTTCAGATGAAGAAGCATTCCTTATATCCTGACAGCTCCAGTCTCCTCCCTCCCCCTTGAAGTGTCCTCTTCATCTCTTCTCTGAGGTTGATTTTCCAGACTTGGAGAAGTAGTTTGGTTTTTTTCGGTGCCATTTGAGGTGGGGTGGGGTACTGGAGCATGGATTCCCAGTTCTGAGGTTGGAGCTCTGCATCCAGCCTCTGATCTGGGAATCTGAAGTATTCCATGGTCACCTAGATGCTGTGTAGGAGCCATAGGATCACCTTTTAATAAATTTTCATGATAGATGTTTAGCAGTTGGCATATGATCATCACAAGCTCTTAGGACAGAAAATTATTTATTTATAAATAACTTTTATATCCTGTCCTTCACTGAAAGTATCGAGATGGTGATACAGTAAAAGCACAGCATGCTAAAATTATAATGACCAGGGAACAAATTTAATTCAATTTTTAGCAGGAATGTTAACATGTTACGATATTTTCCTTTCTTTAAACAAAAGCATGGCATGAACAGCAGAAAGGTCAGTGTAATTCTTTTAAATCAGCATTCCCTAATTTCGAACTTTCTGGATATTTTAAGGTACAACATCCATGGTCCCTGACAGTTATGCATACTGACTAAAGCTTATGAGAGCTGTAGTTCAAAACACCTGGAGGGCACTAGATTAGGGAAGGCTGCAGTAAAGAAACTCATATTCAGAAATTCTGACCGTCCAAAACCAACTGAAGAGAAATAGTGCCACCTGCTGATTCTTTCAAATTGCTTACTGCCCAAGTTATTCACTACAATCAACCCATGTCTAATCTTAATCCTGTTTTGTTGCTAATGACAGCCATTCATTGTGTAACAATATCTTCTTGCTTATGAGACACTCTGGACATGGACTTGGGCTATCAGTACCTGAAGGAATAATTAAGGGCCTGAGAACACTACTGCCCAATTGCTAGCAAGACTTATTTCTACTGCAATGGAAACGTGATTCAACTGGAAATGAGTAGAAATGCTTGTTTCCCACACTTGCAGAGGGGAGCTTCATTGTCCTGTTTCACTCTGGAAAAGAGCATTTCTACTTGTTTCCAAGGTTGCTTTAGGAAGTGCTAGTTCTTCTTACTCCCGTAAGCACAATGAAAGCAGCAAAGCCACACTGGCAGCACTAGATATCCTCCTCTATTTTAATGGGCTTGTTTTTAACATTTCTGTTTCAGTATTTAAAAGCTCCAAGCCTTGGGTGTCTTGACAGAAAGAATTGTATTGAATGAAAATTATAAATATTCTCTAGCTGCAATAACAATCCCACAAACACATGTGCTTTTTATTTGCCTATTATCATGGGACCCGGTACATACTAATGGCAATACAGAAGAAAAGGTTTCCTACTTACCAAGAAATAAAACAATTAACAGAATTATAATTGCAAGGAATGCCTTGTTCCAATAATTTGCTATTTTATTCCATATAGAGATCATAAAAATCTTCTGCCATCTGTAACACAGAATTCCAGAATTCCAAAGGATTTAACATGTGAAAAGACATGTAACAATGTATTTTTATTTTTATAGTCATGTAACTTTTTGTTTTTATAGTCAAAGCAACCAAATTACTTTTCAACAACTCTTTAAATAACATTAAATCTCAGTATTAAAATATACCTCCCTTAAAGCTGAATAAATGAAAAAAGTTGAATAAATAAAAATTCTGAAATACAGTCCAAATAGAGTTATTAGGTTCAAACCCTTTATCTTCCAGAGTTGCACAAAAATGAGAATTTCACAAGGTGCAGTTTGTCCAACTTACTATCAGGATAGTGATAAGAAAAGTCATACCTTGTGGAATTCACAGTTAGGACCTGCTATCCTTACTTGTATCTAATAAGACTAGGTGTCTTTAGTGTCCAGGTTTAATGAGACTAATTTGTTGCTTTCTGATCCTCTTAAAGCTTTATTCTGAAGAGGAAAATCCCTTGATGTGCGTATTTAAATCACACCTTCAATTATCTTGTTAGTGCAACTATCTTAGTAACACTGCATTTTCAAAGAATCCTTGTAACATGTGACATTAACTCAAGGCAGCTGTGTCCAAGTAGTTGTTTTGCAAGGACTTATAAGGATGCAATCCTATGACATTTAACTGAGAGTAAGCCTGAATAGTCTTATTAGGATTCAATTTTGAATAAACATAAATCGATGCACAGGTGCTGCTGCATATACTCAATGAACAGGACTGCAGACAACTGAAGGGAAAGCAATCATGCACTCTGTTTCCTCCTGTTTGTCTTTTTTTTGGGGGGGGGGGAAGATCTTCAAAATCTGTATTTACGCAAAGCAATCAACAACTTTAAAGCAAAAGTTTCCTTCTGTATGTATGTAATGTAATTGATTATAGTAAACCAGTAGTGGCTGTATTAGATCATGGATACTGGAAGTGATTTGAGAAGTTCGGCTGGATTAAGAAAACTGGGTCCGGTCTAAGTGATAGATGGCCATGGTTGTTCTTGCTTTACATAGCTATATAGAATAAATTATTTGGTAGGTGTTGCTTTGCTCACTGTGTCAACTATACTGTTGAAATTTCTTTCTACACAAGTATAAAGGTAAAATAGTACTGTCCTTTGCTGTGTACATCTAGTCATCCTAGGTACAAATGAACTGGAATATTTTACTTTTCCTTATACTGCTGATACATTTACTTTATCCTAAAATCTTCCAGTCAGTTGAGGAATATGCACCTATGCAGTTAAGATCAATATGTAGATATCCAATAGGCATTTTAAGATGTGAGATGTTTTCTTTTTAGCAACTGCTTTCAGATATTTCCATCACTTTGTTTCCACACAATTACTTACATGAGTCAACCTTTGTGCCAGTAAGCTGAAAGCATGCTGGGAGTGGTATGCCTTTTTTCAGTCTAAACTTGCTTAAGACTGCACTTTTAGATATTTTTTCCTCTTTACTCTTTTACTGCCTTTTAACAGTGTTTAACATGAAGGAGCATTTACACTCCAGTTGTTGTACAATCCATTCTATCAACACATTTTGCTTCATGTGTTCATCCAGCCTTGTAAACACACCCACATCTCCAGCTCTCAGGGCTAGCAAGTATTATTGGTTTTCCCTGCTAAAATCATAACAAACCAGGCATCTGATCAGCAGGTTCAACACTGTTTAACTCTAGCTAGCCTAGCAGGAAAAGCAAATCTAAACTCAGGGTCTCAGAACGTGCTTCTTATCCAGTTATAAGCAGCTAAGAAAAAAGGTTGAAGATAACTCATGTGAGCCTGCTAATATTGTATATGTATGCTGATTGGGCTGGGGGGCAGGGGACAAATCTACTTCCTTTTATTCATATCCAGGGTTGCTCCCTATGTGCTCACTTGCAGTCAACAGAACAACTGTCAGCCTTGCAGGTATTATGCTACTTTGCCAAAGTCCTCAAGGGGCCTGAAGCTACAACCCCACGTATAACTCATTTTACTGGAAATAAGCCCAACTGAATTTAATGAGAGTTATGTCTAAGTAGCTATGCAGAGGGTTGCACGGCTAACCTGCATGATGCTGCTTCCTTCATTTTCAAGCTGGCCTCCTTTCTGCTATAACTCAGCTGTGCTGTAACATTTTATTAACACCAATGACCCATCTTGTCTTATGTTCTCTTGGAAACAAGCATACAAACATGCAGCAGAGGTGCTGTTAGCAGCTGTATTCAGTGGGATATTGGCAAAGAACATTAACAATTCCTTTTGTTGCTATACTGTTTATTTTGGTCAAGGGCCACACTTGTTCCACTTGTGATGATTAGAGGTGCTAGTTATAATAACTGTGCTAACCATACTTCTACTTAAAAATAACTCTCATGATTACCTCTCCAAAAGTCTTATATAACGATTTTACTGTCTTTTTTAAACATATTGTTGTGAGAAGCTACATCAGGCTTTGAAAAAATAGCATATAGTTTACTTTAAATCAGGTGTGTCCAACCTTTTGGCTTCTCTGGGCCACATTGGAAGAAGAAAAATGGTCTTGGGTCACACATTAAATATACAAACACTAACGAAAGCTGATGAGCAAAAAAAAAAAAAAAAGCTGTGTGCATAATTTTCGTGATATCCGCCACCAGATAAGCAAAAAAGTCCTCACATAACAATCCTAATTATCTGGTGCCCTCTTTGGAGAATCTTTTAAAATCATCAAGCAGAAAAGAGGGCAACATAAAACTAGTTGGATATTTGACTTTGTATTTGAGATACTAATACATCAATATCTGGTTCAATGGAAGTAGTTCAAATTCTTAGTGAGTTCTCAAAGTGCTTCTCAGATATTTTACTTTCAGTTGCTCACAAATGTAGGTGTTACCAAAAAGCAAAGACATGAATAAGGCATGATTGTGAAGTGAGGGATATTTGTCTCTGGGAATATAGGACCTATAAAAGTCCATGATCATTTTTTTCTTTAAGTTGAATGTCAGATTGCAGATCTATGCATTCCATTTGAAAATTGGCAGGTAACATATATCAACTGAAAATGGAGTTGCAAATACCCAAATAGTGATTATCTTCCTGGAAATCCTAAAATCTGTTTTCAAATTATTGTATCAAATCGAAAAACAAGGCTGCATATTTTTCCTTGTTCACAGGACTGTGTTTAGCCAACATTTTGAAATGTATAAAATGTTTGCAATGGTAGGTTGAAATATCATTGATAATAGCTGTGCTTCACTCAATAAGTCACCATGAGCACATGTAATGTCTGATGGGGTCAGTTCGACTGTCTGACCTTGGAAGATAACACACTGGAAGCCATCAATGTGTACAAATAGTGAGACCATATGTATGTTTATTTTACATGACATTGCAACATGACATTGTTGTATACAAAGTTCTCGCTCATGAACTGCACAATCAAGTTACCAAAAAATTGCCAAAAAAATCTCATAATGTTTTAAGTAAGTTTATGATTTTGTGTTGGGTTGCACCCATAGCCAACCTGGGCCACATGCAGCGGACAGGCTGGACACCCCTGCTTTAATAAGGGCACAGATACAGTTTTTAAAAGCCACTATTGCTATCCTCTTATCTCCTCTCATACTTGTATAGGTTGTAGGCAGGCCTGAAAAAGTTTCAGCTTATTTATTTACCGGAGAGATCAAGCACAACTATTTTGTCCAAACGTGGGCAATCTGTAGTGAATAGAAGGAGCCAAAGAGGCAAACAATGCAGATAACAGATAAACAATTAAATGCCCCTAGGTTCATAGATCCAAGAAAGCTGTTAATTTCTCAAAACCGATGCGGTTATAGCAGATTCCCTCAAAATCAAACCTATTTGCAACAGTTAAAAAGGCAACTTCAAAACGCACTCCCGATGGCCTATATACACCTCAACTATATAGCATTATTTTCTCTTCCATCAAAAGGCAGCCATTTCAGAGGCAGCACGTTCTTACCTCAGAGGAGAAATAACTGGTAGGCAAAGTAACAACAATATTGCTATTTCAGCATACAGAAAGGTTGCAACTGCCGTCCACTGAAACGTCATCTTGGAGGGAGATATTAAGGGAGATCTGCAGAGAAGTTAAACCCAATTAGCTCACTCCGGTTACCAAACAGGCATTGGGCGGGGAAGGGGGAAGAGGCAGTGAAGCTTCTGCTCAAGCGACGGAAACAAGCCGTCCCCAAAACAGGCTGCACAAGCTTCGAGCGTGACAGCTGAAATGGGACAAAACACTGGCAAGCGCTTTCCTCCAAAGGACCAAAACACGCTCGCCCTTCCCCTGTATGGTCAGCCGGAGTGTATGGGAAACCTCCGGATTACTCTATTTCTTTTTTTAAAACTGCAAGACTGGGTTGATTTAACTGCAGGACTGGGTTAGTTAAACAAACCCATTTCTAGGGGGTTTCGGGACCACCACCACCACCCGTTCCCCCGGGACATGCGAGTTACACGGATCGCTTCCAGTCACTGCTGGCTAATTTCGGTCGTGAACTCCCGCCGCCCGGACCTTGCCCTGCTCCTCACATGGTAATCGGGGGAAGCCTTGGCAGCCGTCTCGGTTGGGAGAAGCGGACACCTCACTTTCGTTATCCCGTTTCCTCAAAAGCGCTGCTCCCGCCCTTGCCCTTCCTTCGTCATCACCCGGTTCGAAGCCCCGTAACTGGTTGCTTTTGCCCGGCCTTCGTCAGCGCTAGACCCCCTCCCAGCTAGACGGTTCGGCCCGATGGCGGCGGCGGCGGCGGCGGCGCGGCGGCGCCGGAGGCGGAGCAGCGGCGCTTCCGTGACTGCTGAGGGCGGGAGCGCTGGGAGAAGCCGCAGCGGGCAGCAAATGGCAAGGCTGGCTGTCGCAAGCATTGCTCCTCCTTCCCTTAAGCGAGGGACCATCAAGTCCCAAACAGCGCGGGCCTGAGGCGGGGTTCTTGGAAATAATTCTGGCTGGGGCTTTAGCGTGTAAGCGGGCTAGGATTGTAGTCTAACGCACGCAGGCCTTCTGTGTTGACTCAGAAGTCGATATAAGCCCTGAGTTTTAAGATAGTTTAAGATATACAAGTTTTAACCTTGTATATTTACAAGGTTAGTATAACTTTATAGGTTTATAGGATGCTTCAATCCTATACTTATGTGGGTGTAGGAATGAAGAGGCAGCCCCAATAAATATTCCAGGAAGAAAGGATTTGCTTTCCATCTGTGGAAATGCAAGAGGTCTACGGTAGTCAGGTGGATTGCATCACTTCTTCAGGTGATCTGCTCCATCCATCGATTTTTGAATGTTGTCCTAACAACAGCACTGTATAAGTAAAGCATGTGGGATCATATAAGCAAAGCAACATAGGAGGACCGCTGGTATCAGTAATGCTGTTAGGTCATTTTAGGGTGCTTCCACATGCAGCTTTTATGTGTAAGACCCCGGCTTATTGACAGATTTTTCCTGCAGGAGGATTGTCTTGACTGAGTTACTTTCAGTTTGTGACTCAGTTTGTCACAGTTTGTAGCCATGCACCACTGTTGTAGCAAAAACAAGAAAGTAATATCAAAGATAGATGATAAAAAACATGGTCCCCTATTCTTTGCTCATTTTTCTTGGAACTCTATATCCTAGAACATTTAAATGATACTGTAGATTGAAATGCAAGAGAGTAAGACTGTTTCCTACAAGAAATTCAACCACAGTCCCACGAGCACTTGCTCTGGAATTGTCTGGCTGGCAAGGTTAACCATGAGTAGCTTGAAGACAGATAGAATGGAACTATGGACAATAAAAACCATTTATGAGTAAACAAGTAGGCCTAGATCAGTGCTGTTAGACAGGTACACTCCTCTTTGTTTTACACCCTTAATTATCCGCAGTTAAGATGGGTGCACTCCTACTTGTTTATTGTACAGCCCAATTCTCTCTCCATGCAAAAGAAAACTCAGCCTGAACTTTCACATATACTAGTGAACTACAATCATAGTGCAAGCAATCAACATTGGAAGGATGTAGGGAAAATCCTCCATTTTACCTGTGGAACACTTCCATAAATTGAGAATGCAACAGGATGGTTAAAATGTTTTGAAGAGATAAGGATCTACAGCAGGGGTCCTCAAACTTTTCCCCAGGGGGTAAGTTGAAAGGTGCTCGTGCTGGGTGTGGGCCAGAAAGGTGGTGCCAACGGGGCGCGCTGGCTGGCAAGGGGGCGGGGGCGGCACGTGCGCTGAGGTGGGGGCGGGGGGCACGGCGAGGGGAGGCAAGGCGAGGTGGGGCGGGCATGTGCCGCCAGGCGGGTGCATGAGGCAGCGGTTTGCTCACTCGGAGATCGTTTTCTCCGAGTGAGCAAACCGCTGCCTCCCCACACACAGGGCGAGGTGGGTGGTAGCAGGTGTGCGTGGGCGCACATGCAGCAGGTCCAAATGGGCATGGCGGGCCAGATCCGGCCCCTGGGACATAGTTTGAGGACCCATGATCTACAGTGAATGATCTTGATTTGCAGTACAATTGTGTATGTCTACTTTTTAGCAACCCTGTTGAGTTAAACTGGCTTTACTCAAAAGGAAGAGTAGGATTGAAGACAGATAACAGAAAGTCTATGTCTGTTTACTTAAACTCCAGTATTCAGTAGTTATTCAGTGTTTATAAATGTTTATTCAGCAGTCTACTAATTTCAGTAGGCTTCATTCAAAAATAAGTGTGCAGAGGATTGCAGCTGCTATTTCCATGAAGTCCAAATGTTCAATCACCTCTGAGCAACTAGTTTATTTAAATGTTTTGCTTCCCACTGCAGCATGTCTGGCCAGCATATAAATTTAGTAAAAGTGTTAGAGGTGTTGTCTGTAAGCTGGTTTCTGTTGGAGGTGGTGGCTGGAAAGTGAACAGGGACCTAGGGCTTGGGACCTAGCAACTCACTTATGTGGATTATATTTTTCTTAGCCTATTTCAGCTGCATATCAAGCATTCCAATCTATTAGGACCAGGCACAGCTACATGATGCTTCTACTCTGCATCCTTCTAGATGCCTCTGTTTGGTCAATGAGAGTAAGCATGGGACCATTACCTGCATGGCATATAATGTCTGTACAGCCAGGCTAATTTGCCACAATTTTAGTTGTGAGGGATGAACATGAACACACTGCATGATTCACAGTACAAATGCAGAGCTGGCAGTTACTCTGTGCTACTCAATCCAAAGTAAGGTCTTGTGTATTCACCTTTGTAAATTAGGAAACACATTCCTTCCTCCAGCACTTGATGGTTTAGCATAGGTAGTGTAAGGAGCTTAAAACATGCAGGTCCACAGAACAAGTAATAACAGCTGCATGGCTGAAGTTCTTAACAGTACAGTACAGAAGCATTTACTATATATATATATATATAGTAACACAGAAATCACAGCTGAAAGCCCCTGTATACAGCCCCAGTGCTGACTTCAAGGAATGTAGGGCCATGTGGAACTAGATTCCCTCCTTAGCGCTTCCTAAAATAGAACAAATCTAAATTTGTTAAACATGGGGGAGTAAGGAGAGGGAAGTCAGAATCAAGTCTTTTCACAAAGCAAGACTCAAGAACAAATAGTTGCTATAAAAACCCAATGATAGAATTTGTAGAAAATTGTGTTTTTGATGTTATGTAGAATTACATCCCTAAATCAAAATATTACAAATTTGGATTTCATGATAATGGAATATTTAGGAAGCAGTTTAGTTGCTATTTAGATACTAGATTTCTACTGAAATGACCAGAAGTCTTTCATTTTCTGCTTTTAAACATGGGGTTTTTAGTCTTCTAAAAAGTGTAAATGGACATGTTCAGGATACTGAATAGAAAAAAATCAGACTTGTATACATTCTTCAAAATATATATAAATATTACTCAGAATTTACAGATCACCTTATAACAGTAAGCCTGCAGTCATCACATGATTGAAATAATTCAGGAGTTACTTCACACCATAGTTATCCCTAAGATAGTCTAAAACAGCTGAGGTACTTGATAATACATTAAAGATTTTCTTTTCTTGCTTTGAAGTAATTCTTTCTAACATGTACATTAAATGGTGATGAAAACATGTAAAAGGAGTCCCATGTTCAAGAGCAATATCAATCCAGTGTTGGATGCAATGCAGAGGTGTTTCTTCATATCCTGCAAACATAGCTGGATTAGCTAAGAGTCCTCTAGCAACCATGACACCTATAAAATGGAAAGATTGGAAAGAGTCAAAGTAAAAATGAACAAAATTATTTTTATTGATATTATAGTATTGGAAAAAAAACTAACAAATCACTAATGCCTCATCTGATTCTGTTAAGTCTTGCTGGAAATGCTCATTCAATGAAGATCTAACATTTCCAGGGCAACATGAAACAAGCAAAACCAGTAAGGAACAGGGTAAGTCAGCAAAGCTTGCATAAGGCAGCCCCAGTGACTTGTTGCAAGTGAGCAATGAGTGTTTCTGCTCATTTCAGAGTTTTCTCTGGGAAGCGTTAAGTGTCTATTGCACAAGTTCTGGGTCTCATTCACACTATGGAATTAGCAGAACCCATTGCTTCTGCAGCAGAATTTGGGTGCAAGACCATCAGCAGGGACTCAAGCACTGTGCTGGCTTCTGCCCTTCCTGATGTACATATAATTTTTAAATTGCAAGTTTCAGAGAGCTGAAGACCCTTAGAACCAGCAAGCCTAAAATGACTGTGCCACTTTTTTGGGGAGGGAAGCAAACAAAGGAAGAGTGAGGAAAGAAAGAAATCACTGCAAATTACAAGAAAAAATGTAGTTCAGTAGGAGGAGATGCATTAGAAGGGACGGTTAATAGGATTGTGTGTGTGGTGAGATGATAATATAGTAGGGTCACTTTGAAAAGTGAGGTGATAATATAGTAGGGTCACTTTGCTCCACTGCTGCCCGATGACTTTCCTATGTGCTACAGATAATTTATAAATTTTTAATGTATCTGCTCTTCTAAAATCACTTTACTTATTCTGCACTTCAATACTTGTCTCAAAACCCTGATCCTTATGTTCACACAACAAGTTCCATTGAGTTAAATGGATTTTACTCCCCAGTAAATATGCATAGGATTGCACTCTTAGAGAACTTGGTTCACAGATGTTAAAAACTGATCATGGTTGTGTTCTACAAACTGTGTAGCTTTAGTGACAGAGATAATACACAGTCATTCACATGAAAACATATTTATTGGTGGACAGCCCATACAAACCCAAGAAGTAGGCTTACCATCTGCTCCTGTTATTTGATGAATGTCCTCCACATCTTTTAAAGATTTCATATCCCCATTGGCTACAACTGGTATAGACATGCTTTGTTTAATTATTTTAATTGCATCATAGTGTACTGGCTGGTGTCTTTCCTCTACATTTCTCCCATGGACAGTAATCCAGGATACTCCAGCTGCTTCTGCTTTTTGACAAAGGTCTACAGTTCTCTTTAAGTCATCATGAATTCTAAAATTTGAAACAACAAAAATAACGCAACTTAAGTAGGTATATGAATCATATGAGAATGCAGTATAGTGTCCAAACTAAGGTAGCAATGACTAAAATGGAGCATTTGAAAAGTTACCTTTCATCTACTAATATTATCCAGAAAATGTTGTCTGTAATGTTTAGTAAAATGTTGCTCATAAGAAATTGCACACTTTAAGTTAGTTGCATCTAGCTTGCTCACTGATTTCAGTAGCAACTAACTTCTCTGGATCTAGGCCATCCCAGCCCCACAATATCCAAGTAATTTATTTGCTGAAATAATTCTCATTTGGAAAACAAAAGGATTCTAAGAGATTTAGTACCCACAAAACATACTTAGAATGGAAAAACTAACTCCTTTATTAGCACAGTTTCAGAAAGCACAGTTGAACACTGCCACATGTACTTGACCAAATATTTAGTTTAAGGTTGTTAAACATATACAATTACACTACACTATTACTACTTGAATAATCACAAATTCTTGAGTTTTCAATGCATCTCATTCTGTAAAAGTAGGGAAACTAGGCTTGCATTAGTCAAATACATTAATGTTTTTATTTTAAAATAGATGTATAAATAAAATGCATTAAAATAATATTTATGTAGATAGTATCAGAACTCACCTTATTTTAATGGAAACTGTAAACATGGGGTTTTCCACTTGATTTCTTACTAGTCTCACCATCTCTTGCACCAGTTCTGGTTTATTTATTAAGCAAGCACCATAACCTTCTGTCATAGCCCATCTTGAATTAAAGAAAACAAAATAAATTTTGTATATTATGATGGATCACTTTTTCTCTCTTTTTTTTCTCTGTAAGAATTAGCTGCTAAGGAACCGAAAAGGAATATTGATAAAAGTAAGATTTTCAGAAAGTCTAGATTTTCTAACAAAAAGAATTTTTTGTTGTTCCAAAGAAATTACAATGGATTTGTCTGTTATGCATCAGCTTTCCCCAATCTAAGGACCTCTAGAAGTTTTGGGCTAGAACTCCTGTTAGTCCCAACCAATATGGCCAATAGTCAAGAACAGTGAGTGTTACAATTTGAAACATGTCAACTACGTGGCATATGCTGTATATATGATTAGCAGACATAATCTTTGATAACAAACCTCTGTTTCTTGTCTGACTCAACTACTGTTTTCAAGATAGTAAGAAACACAAGGTAATGTAATCAGCATAAACATAGACCCCACTTCAGAAATTAGCCTCAAGATATGTTCAAGATATAGAGGGGCCAGCTGGACAGTATGCTCTGGCTCCATCACCATCTCCATGGGCTTTAGCCCAGAACTCTGCATGTTGGGCTCCTGATAGCCTGGAAGTATCTACATGCATTTAAGTTGAGTATGTGTAAGTTTCTGATTGGATCTTCTGCCCAATGTGTGAAGGTGTGGGGATGGACGAGGGTTCCAGTTTCTGAGACCCCTTGAAGGCTAATGAGTTTATAATCAGGCCCTATTTCATTTATTATATACTCCTTCTCAGCTCAATAAATCCCAAAATGTAGACTTTAAGAAGACTACAAAAATTCACAATAATACTAATGAATATTAAATGCTGCTTCAAAGGTATCTTTTGGTTTGAGGAAAGATAAAATAAACAGATTGCTGGTACTAGCATGGAGGACTGATGTACCACTCAGGAAATGGGGAAATTATTTCACAGGGCGGATGCCACTGTAGAAAAGACTTATTTCTGTGGCAGTACCAAGCAAAAATACATAAGCTGAAGCACATAAAATAAGGCTGTCCTGAAGGCGTTCCAGTGGCTGGGAAGGTTGGTAACAACAGCTAGAAATATAGTTTTCTTCAACCATTGAAGCAGAAATTCTACTGAAGAGCATTCTTCAAACAATTTAATTATGATATGAGTTAGGATAAATTGCAGAGAGTAAGGTTATTTGGACAACTGCCTTCTGCTGCACAAACCTGCCCAAATGGATTGACCCCAAAGGCCTGGCTTACTGTCTTTTCAGATTGCTGTTTTAGTTTTTGTAATGAGATTATTTTAGGTGCTATTTTATGTTTATAATTGTTTGGATGGCTTTGTCCTGAAAGGCAGCAAAATTGTGGACTGAATGAATAGATAATTGTGTATTTCAATTCATTAATTTTATATGCTCTTCCGAGTTCTTAAAACTTTACCTCTGTGGACAGCCACAGTTTAGGTCTATGCCATCTGCAAAAGGACTGATGATATGGGCAGCATCTGCCAGGACCTGTGCTTCTTTAGCAGCAAACTGAACAATCAGAGGGTGATCACCTGGCAAAATGAAAAGTTTTCTAAGAATGAAAAAATACACCATATATGCACATATAACAAATTGACTTGGAACCTAAGAAAAGATCTCAGGTATTTGGTCCCATATGCCCCCTGAAACAACTTGTATCTCATTGCAAAGCCTATTCTGGTCAGGCTCTTGACACTTGGGAGAGGGGACATGCTCAAAATTGGACTGCTATCCCCTTCACTTCCCCTAGGAGAACCCACATTGAACCCATCCCACATTGTTCAGAAGACCCTTCCTGGGCATGTCCAAAAGGGCTGGGACATTTTTGTTCTGGAGAGCTGCTGCCAGTCAGTCTTGACAATACTCATGGATCAATGGTGTGACCCAATATAAGGCAGCTTGCTTTGTGTGGCTCTCTGCAGAAGTATTTAAGGAGATGTAAGTGGCTGTAGGAAAAAGGAAGGAAGGGATTGGAAATGTTACTTCCATGAATTGCCTTAAATGATAAAATGGGTGTGAATACTTTCATTAAGATAGGATGCTACATTTACAATGGAAGTTCTTTATTACATCTTTATTACATTGACAAGGCCTTTTGTCACACTCTTTTCTGCAATGCAGGATTGCTTCCTGTGTGGAATGTAATAAACCCCTTCATAAGGAAGAATGAATAATACCTAGCATTTATACAACACTTTTAGAGTGCTCAAAACACTTTACATGATATAGGGCTGTGTCAAGGATGACAAAATAACTAAGTGAGAGCAGTATTATTAAATCCACACCGGAGATGCATGGCTGAGGTAGTGGCATGCCTGTGGCCACCTACAGAGTTCACAGGAGATTTGAAACAGGAACGTCCTGAGTTCTAGCTCAGTCTTTTAATAACTATGTTATGCCAGGATCAAGATGCAAAAGGATGGAGACTCTGTCAGAGTTTATTTCTTTGCTCATGCATCCAAGAGGACCTGCAGACATACATATATAGAGTACAGAGATATCACAGGCAGCTGCTGTGCAATACTGTTTCTGATTAGAATACTTGGCTTGATGGGTCCTTTAGTAATTATAGAATGGCAGCTAGGATGTTTAATATAATCATAATTATTATGACATTGCATTTATATCCTGCCTTTTATCCTCACAATCTTCTCTTCTCCTTTCCTTGTCCACAAACTCTTCAGAATTATGCCTGGAGTGCACTAAGCTGAAGCTGGAACAGTAACAGTGCTAGTAATACAGCAAAGATCTGATTTAGTTCCTGTAGAGAAAAACCACCAGAAGACTATTGTATATTGAGGAGATAGGGTGGTGTGACACAATTGCTCCTTCTACTCCAATACCTCCTTAAGACCTTAAAAAACAGAGCCTCCTTAAAAAACCCAGTTGAGGCCCTCTGGCATGACCAAATGTGTTATTCCAAGCTGATTGCTGATTAGGAATACAGAATACCATAAACAGCTGAACTTATCACCTTGAGATTTGCAGAACAGCAGAGGTGACCAATTAACTGTTTTGAATAGCACAGTATTCTACAGCATGCAACACTCTAAACCAGGGGTCCTCAAACTTTTTGATAGGGGGCCAGTTGAAAGGCTGCGGTGACTGTTGTGGGCCGGTGAGGCGGGGGTGCCTGGGGGCGTGGGCTGGTGAGGGGCCATTGGGCATGCACGAGGCAGCACCGGGCACGCACAGTGGTGGCTCGCAGCAAGCGCGGGCGGCAAACAGCAGCACGGGCTGGATGGATGGCCATGGTGGGCTGGATCCATCCCAAGGGCCATAGTTTGAGGACCCATGCTCTAAAGTTTAGGATAAAAAGCCTCGCGGCTCCACACAAGGTGAGCTTCAATGCAGACCTGACCAGGTGAAGGTGCTGCATACCGGCCAAATTGACCGGTATTCCTTGTTGTCACAAAGGGGGTCCCAACAAATAATTGAGGAAAGTCAGCTTGCTTGGTATTGTATATTTCTTTTTTTTCCCCCATGTTATGGTGCCTGCTGATATTATAGTGCCTGCTTTAGAATAAAATCTTTAGACTTTAACCCACTTGTGTGCTTATTGCTTCTGGATCCAAAAAGAACCCTTGCCTTTGGCAAAACAGTTCCTGATATGGAATTTGATGTGTGTTTATACTCAGAAATAACTTTCCCAGGTGAATATATGTATGATAGCAACCTGTATCTTCATGAAATATTAACAAAGTGTATTACATAGGCTCTTGGAAAACATTCTGTGCAAGCTAAATGAGCATCAGAGAAGAGGGAAGGGTAGAGCCTAGGCATTGTATTTTATATTTTTTAAACATTTGGCAGAATGCAAACCACAATACCTTGGTTTGTTGTAAATTCACTGTTTCTAGCCTTCACAGATCTGACAAAATCTGTTGCAACTATCATTGGAGTATAGCATAAATCACAGTTGTATTTCCTGACTAAAGTTCTGAAAGACAATCTGAAAATACAGAAACATTTAAGATATAAAATTGATAACTTTTCTGTAGTGAATAAAGTGGCTTTAGGCTTGATAATTTATTCTGAACAATAGTAAATACAATATCATTAACAGAAAAAGTTTTAAGTGCCTTAAAAAAAGTTCTCTAATCGCTTTAAAAATAGTTTTACAGCATAACATCATTTTCAAACTACCTATTGTGAAGTAATCCAACATTTTTATTTATTCAATTCATTTAACAGGTTAGAACAAGAAGAGTTTTATTTTTGAGCCAGCACTCTAAATATGTTCAGGCCAATTCTGTGGCTGTTCCTACATGAAGACAAGAACCAGGCACTTATCCATCATGCCTAGATTCAGGTTCTGTCAAGAACTGCAGTTCTGCCAGGCTGGCAACAACATTTTTTATAAATTGACTAAAACTCCATTTCTATGCATCTATTTCACATTAGACTAGCACTGGATTTAACCCACAGTGATACAGTACTGTAATATCCTGCAGACAACAACAGGATTTTTAAAGCATGCTTATTAACCCAGAAACCCTGGCAGTGGCCAGACTCTGAACTCAAAGGGTTCTGGATAGCTTGCCCTAGCAACAAGTAAAAGCAGAACAAGGCATGCTATAGTTGATAGAGACTGGCAGAAACGTCAGTTCTCTCTGTAAACATTAAGATAAAATCACCTAAGCAATGCTACTTGGGGGGCAGTGGGGGGGAAGAGACCAAAGGCATTTTTGTAACAATCTCTACATCAGGAAAGGAAAAGTCCTAGTTTCGTGAAAGCAGACGGTAATGGTCAGAGCAGTGCTAACTAAAGCTCTATCATAAGCAACAAGATTTAATACCAAGCAAAGCAAGCAATTTAAAGGGCTAGAAACTCAGGCCTGTCTTTTTGGAGTTCAGGCCTGTTACACCATGCTAGCCAGGTCCATCTAGCCATAGCAACAATACTGCTGCTGCAGCCATCTTTGCTCAGCTATTTGAATGGAGGAGTAAGAAGCCACAGAGAGGGATGGCATATGACTTTTCAGGCTCCAAAAACTGTCAAAACCAAAGCCAGAGCACTCAAAAGAACAAGCTTGTTCAAAGACTCAGTGGTTTCAATTTCAGTGGTTTTCACAACAAAGTAGATAGATAGGGTCAGGGCTTTTTTTGTCATAGAACACACCGGAATGGCATTCTGGCACCTTTTTTGACAGATTTTTCCAATGGATTTTTCCAAGTGATTTGAAATCGTCCTGTTGGGCATGCAGGTCGGCAGCAAAAATAATTAAAATAGAGCATGTGGGCTGCTTGTGTGTCCGCGCTGATTATGAGGGCGCTGTTCGGCTTGGGACGCTGCTCGGCTTGGGATTGGTCGTGTAGTCGCGTGCTGAGTGCTTACTGCCAGTGGCGATATAGAGTGACTGGCTACGTGCAAAAAGTAAATAAGTTCTTTATTTCAAAAAAAGTTGGTGAATTGAAAATCTTTTTTAGTGTAAAAGCATGACCCCAAGACATGAGTTCCGGCACTTTTTTTTTTTTTTTTTTTTTTTACAAAAAAAGCACTGGATAGGGTCATATGCCTGATGGAATTTGGTTCCCAAATTAAATGAAATATTCAATACAGCCCTACAGAGATCAATATGATATTTAGAAATTTCACTTACTTTGAATACCTAACCATAGGAGCACATATTTTCACTATATTCCCAGTATGAAACAGATCAATTGGATATCTTGGTGGACCTTGCAGAACTTCTCTGGAGTGACTAGACATATGTGCGTTGTCAGGCCACATCTGCAAAACAAAAACAACAAAACATGAGGTCATTTAAACTCTCCTCACCTACTTATCTTTAGAATTCCCTTGGTAATGTACAGAACATAAACACAAGCTTGGGGCATTATCCAGTTCATTGCAAATATATGATTGTCTTTAAATATTAAGCTGTTCAGTCATTAGCTTCAGTATCTGCTTCTAATGTATCCCCAAATTTCAAAGCTCAGTAAAATACACTAACCAGCTGTAGCAGTGGTGCTATTGAACACGTGTCTCCCCAGCCCTCCGGTGCTGGGATGTTCTTTAAAGAGAGGAAATAAATGGTGAAGAAAGAGGAAGTTCACGGAAACAGGAAAACACGGGAAGCTCCCCTGACAACTTACATGATTATTCGGCCTTATCCTATGCGCAGTTGGTTTTCAGTTCCACGCTACGAAGGCTTAAGTTACACGTGCGAATGCTATCCTGCTAGTTATGATCCTTTCGCGTTCCCATGGCTCCGGAGAACGGCAAGGCTGAGCATGCAGTAACTACAAGCAAAAGAAAGCAGGAAGACACTTTAAGCAAAATCAGAGTCCTAGAAATAGGAAATTCAGAGTAACACTAAGCCTTGATTATTAGTAAAGCTGTTCTTCAGTCCCTTGAAAACTATAGTAAAAATGCGAAATACTTGGTATTGGAAGCTTTTGTGGACAATCAAATCCATTTTGTGTTCAATAAATTGAAAAACATACGATGATATATTTCTCTATTTTTATATCTCTATGGGAGACCCTGTTAGAAGCGTAAGTTCCTCAACAAACTGCGCTGTAGACTGTTAATTAGAGTCACACGAGGTTCGTGATTTCCGGGTTTCTTTGGACGCCACATTCGGTCTTCCCTGGAGCAGAGGCGGGAGCTGCGCATGTAAAACAAAGAAGAACTCCAAGTTTGTTAGCCTGCCTGTATTTTGACAACAGCGGGTGCCACCTACAACAGGTATCACCAGCAACGATAGGGATAATTCCCTCTCAAACCCAAATCGTATATGGTGGGGGGAAATGTATGTTTAAGAAAGGTCTCAATATTTTACACAAGATGATTTTAATCCAAAATGTTTAACATTTTAACTCTGCAATGGGGCTGCGTGCAAGTAAAAGCACAAAAGCATATACCTGCACCTAAACGCTAGATTTAGGTTGGGAGCTGTGAGGGTTGCGACTGAGCTAGTATGACCTTTGCAATAACCGGAGGGTTGTCTCGATAGGCGAGTTCTGAAGGAAACTCAAACCAGTCTCAAGCCCACTTCTAATGTGCAATATTAACGGTCAATTACATTGCAGGCTGTAGTAAGCCGTTGTCTTTCAATCTCTGTTCCCGCCTCCCTAACGTACAATGTAGGGATAATGGATTATATTGGACTTAATATTGCCATTCGCAGGGCAACAGGCAATTTCTTTTAAATTTTTGCAACTTTTTATTAAAAAAAAGAAAGCCACGTTTGCCGCATGAAATAAGGCCTAGCGAAAAAGTACAAACTCCTGCTTCTGCTGTTATTTGCTTCTTTTTTCTTTGTGAAGCGGGTGGGGACGCGCCTACCCAATCATAGCTACACTAAAATCTTGGATTCCTCCATTGTTCTGTACAAGCGGCGCACACTTGCTCCGTGGAAAAGCCCCTCCAGCAGCCAGGAAGCGCCGTCTCCAGCGGGAAGAGCCCTTCTAGTAGATCGCCGCCCGGCGCGTGTGCTCTCTACGCTCTGCCGTCGCTCGCTCGCTCGCTCCCTCTCATGCGCTTCCGCTCCCGCCCGTTCCTCAGCGCAGCTGCGACTTCCTGTCCCTGGGCTCCCCATACCGAACCATGGACCACAATGGTGAGCGCGGGGCGGTGGGCAGCTGTGCTGTATATGTAGGCCGCTGCGCGCCCCCTTTCCTCTTCCTTCGGCCCCGACCACCGCGAAGCTTGAGCCGGAGGCTGCCGCGGGCACCGGAGCGCTGAGGCCTTGTAGGAGCGGCAGGGCGGACGGGCAGATTAGCTTAGGAGCTCGCGGCCTAGCGCGGCCTGGACCTGTGGAGTCGTAGCCGGCAAGCCCGTTTCTCCGCAGTTTTGGAGCAAGTCTTTCCGGACTCTGTGGAGCTTACTTCTGAGGAGACACAGATAGGACTGCGCCTTCTCTTAACGCGCACGTCAGTCAGTCAAGAGAGGAGGCTCAGCGAAGGCGACTCTTCCGGGCACCGCGGCGCTTTGCGCCTGCTTTTCTGCCTCGTGGGGCTCGTGCTCAGCAGCGAGAGCCCTGCCTCGGCAGCTTGCAATTCCCTGTGCCCCTTCGCCCCGCGGGTCGCCTCTCTTTGGATTGTGCCGTGCCACGAGCAACCCAAAAAGCGGTAGCCCTTTGCCGCAAAGCAGCAGGATTATGGCCTTTCCGCTTGCTTTTCCCCTCCTCTCCTCTCCTCTCCTCTCCTCTCCTCTCCTCTCCTCTTTCCGACTGAGCTCATTTCGTCGAGTTCACGGCAGTGTTATTCCGACCTCCTCCTCGGATCGCTTCAGGCTCCCCGCTTTCTACCTCCGTATTTGCTTTACGCGTTACGGATAGATGTGGGCAGTGGAGGGTTCCTAACTGTAGCGAGACGGCACACCTGTGGCGATTTCCTGCGCAGGGTTCCCTTATCATCCCCTTTAGTTCTCAGTTAGGAAATCACGCTCCGCCGAGCAGTACCTTATTTTAAGCTTTAAGGGATGTGAAAAGAGAAAGTGACTGCTTTCCTTGCTGCTTCATGTTTTACTATATACATCGTGAGCAAATAAGTGCAGTGCTATTCTTCCTCCCTAGAGTTAGCCAACCGTTGCATATGACTATTGGGGTAAGGTTTTTATGGGAAGACTTACCATCTGAGGTTCTTGACCTGCCCTGTTCTAGTGTAAGATGATGAGTGGCTAGGTGAGAAAAGTCATTTTCAATACTGCTTCTGGAAGACTTGTGTGGCATCTTTTTTAATATTGATGCAAGGCAAAGTTATTCTAAATTTCTACTGAGTTGTAGTTTTAATAAATTGGTATCAATGGAAATCAGTTTAATTATCACTATTGCAAATCATGTTGATTTTAATGAAGCTGCCCTACTGATTAAATATGAATTTAACCCACTATTTGGGTTTTTAATTCTTATTTTTATTTTGTAATTATACAGAATACTTTTGTTATAAAGTGACATAAATACTTTAAGCAAGTAAAATGAATAGGTGTTTTAGAATGCTACATCGAGACGAACAGTTCAATTTCCCCATGGTTGTGTAAGAAAAGGAAGAATTGATAGTATCTGGAATTGATAATACAAGAGGTTGTGTGGCCTTGAACAGCACTTCTCAAACATGCTTCTTACAGTGTGAGAGCCCTGCTTTGTAATGGCTAGGTTTTAAAGAGGTTTTTTTTTTAAAAATCTGGGATAAATGCTTTTAATAAACTGTTGATGGAAACTCATTTTGCCTGCTCTGAGATCAGTCATGTGAACATTGATCTTTCTTGATCTGCTGTAGGAGTGGGCATCTTGTAGGTGAAAACATTCGGAATGTCTCAATTTACATTAGCTCTAACCAGCATAGCCAAGAGAGAGGGATAGTAAGAAGTTGTAGGCCAAAACTCCCACTGTAGGGCTACAAGACCACCTGACTCCTGTGCTAATTCTATTTTGAGGACTGTCTCTTTTATAGTTCTATTTGTTTTGCTAGCTTGTTTGATTGGCATTTCTTTAAATGAATAAAGCTTTTGCTAGTTACTTTTTTAGACTCCAGCTATGTTATGTGTACACTACAGGGACCAGATTTTCTTTAGCCTGTGTAAAGTGGCTCCATCTTCCACATCTTTATCAGTTGCATTTCTTAAATTCTCATAAAATTCTGTATTAACATATCTGGTTGAAATAAATTCCTTTATCTATTTATTAATTACATTTCTACACCACCCAATAACTAAAGTTTTCTGGGTGATAATTGCTACTCCTGTAGCTGTTTGTAAATTCTGTGTTTACCAAATGGATTAGCAGCAGTTCAGTGCATCTGGAAATTTAATTGACTTGAAGTTCCTATGAGGCCAGTATCCCTCATAAGTGAAGGGACAGAACAACATCATGTGCACATTAAAGTTTGTAGATTTGTTCAGTACTAGCCACTGATCAGTATCTTGGCACACAAATGAAAACTCAGTCCATGACAAAGTTACAGGATACATTGCCATAGTATGTCAGTGTATGTGCTGCTATTAACCATGTTTGGATTGAGAATGAGAATAGTAGCTATAGTGGCTTTCTTCTCCCCAGTGATTGAGCAAGACATGCTAGTGGAATTTGCAAATTGACATCAGTGGTGTGGGAAATGGGTTGGGCACCACACATGCTGCCTGTGGAACAAGTCCTACTGTACTCAGTGGGCTTATTGAGCTTATATGTGTACACATATATATATACACATATAGGCAAAGTCTTATTAGAATCGTAATGCCTCTTCAAAAAAATTAAAAATTCTAAGCAATGTTTCAAATGTTTTGAAACCAATCTTTAGAAACCATGTTTTTTTGCATTTAGGATAACAGATGCTAGAATAAGAAGATCCCATAAGTTCATTACGCCCTGCCAGTGTTCATGCCTAGCAACAGGCAAACTTAGCTACAACTCTCAAATAGCCATCTTCAGAAGCTTGATTAATTGATCAGGACTGCAGCCTTACTTGTGTTTATAGTGTGCCAATTCAAATTGTAGATTGATTATGTAGAGTTTTTAAGAGGTTTATGGTGTGGTGGCAAGAATGCTAGGACTAGGGCTGGCAGGACCAAAGTGCATATCCCCCATATTGGGGGGTTCGTCATTACTTACTCTTTCATTATTACTTACCATACAGAATTGTCTGAGGTTATAATAAGAGGGGACAGAATTTTGCATGTCACCTGAACATCTTAGAGAAAGGATTGGATAAAAATGACATTAAGAATTTTTATTTGTCTGTCATGGAGTTAAGACTGAAACAGTGCCCATTTGAAACATAAGTACTTTGCCAGCATTGTAAGGCACTGTTCTGAAAATAACTATTTGTGAAATAATATAGTAAAAACTGGCAGATCTTCTCCCCTTTAATTTTCCTGTTCTTCAGGAAATTCTTCAGAAATATTCTGGAGCTCCAATAATTGTAGAGTTTGTTGGGCAGCTGAAAGCTTATAAAATTGGGAAAATTCATTATATCACTTCAGCTTTTGTCAACCATATAAGGCAGACGATGCTTTACAGAGAAATGTAAGCAAAAAACAACTGGCACACCAACCCACTCAAGGAGCTTAAATTTCTACGCAGTCTACAGTGGAGGAGGCATCAAATGCAGAGGACAGATAAAAGTCCAGAATTGCTAGGGATGAATGTGAACAAATGCTGATGGTGCACTTCAGCTTTGTCTTAGTGATTTGGAAGGGAGGGAGATCCTATGGCCTAGACATCATGGGTGGGGGTCGGCATGGAATACTTTGGATCTTCTGATCTGAGGCTCTGACTCCCCTTGGAGTGGGTACTAAAAAGAACTGTGTTGGCTGCCTTACAGGAGCAGAAGGGGTTCCATGGGGCAGAGATTGCAGAGGCCAGGCTGCTGTGTATCCTGCACCCTCTGCAGAGATCTACCCTCCCCGCTAAATTGCTTTAGCTAGATGGGCATTTTCTCTAGCTAAAATGCAGAGGAAAGGTGGAAATCTCCACCATTCCTCCTCGTCTGCCTAGGATGCTCAGGATGCTTGTAAACCTCCAAGTCCAAGGGGCTTAGGAGCATTGAGAGTGCAACCCATAGAAGTGTCATAAGAGATAAAGCCAGTGTCATAAGAGATAAAGTTCTGCAAACTTACTTCGCAGAAAAAGTAAGTTTTAAGCAGAGGGTACATATTAAGAAATGGGTACAGCTTTTGGCCAATTACATGCAAAATTAGCCCTCACCCACCCTTCAACACATATCTTCAGGATTAAAATGTGTGTGGTGGAAACTATAGTTTTCTGAGTTACGTATTTGACATATATAAAGTCTTCCAGCAATTTTTTAATTTCTTAGCTTTGGCATAATAAGTCAAATGATTTATTTGACCATGTTAGTGAGTATGGTCAAATATTTTCAGGTATTTTCCAAGGATATGACATTGGCGCTATTTGAAGAATTGGCTGTTTGTAGCATGATTACCTTTAAAATGTTGCTTTTCTTTTACTAGTTGCTGTTCCTTTATTTCTCTCTTAATTTCATCTTCTGTTTATTTCTCTTTTAATTTTGCAACTACAGACTGACCCTGTTTTTCCAATCTTTAAAGCTTTCAAAGAGAGTTGTTCACTAAACTGTTCTGGGGGAAATTTGAAACATGTAGTTTCCCCAGTCTTCCAGTCTGAAGTGCTATAGCTTTGAAATAGTTTTAACATATGATTAGCTTTGTTCAAGCCATGCCTTATCCACTATACCAGATTGCTAAAAATATTTTAGTTTGACTGAGATACTCTGGTTGCTATTTACAAAAGGTAATACTCAGTTTGGTTGTTTGCTATTGTAATCATTTTTGTAAAAAGTACTGAGGGACTACACTTTTAATTTGCTTGCATATTGCATAGAAATTAGGGGGGAGCAAGCTTCTTAATTCAAACCTTGCCGTATTTTTATAACCTGTTCTGTACAATCCCCTTGACAAACTGTGCTCCTCTGTAAGTCTATATGAGCAATGCATTGTAATTAGGTATGTTCAGGTATGTTGAAGGGGAGGGCCAAA